GAGTAGAGTAGAGTAGAGTAGAGTAGAGTAGAGTAGAGTAGAGTAGAGTAGAGTAGAGTAGAGTAGAGTAGAGTAGAGTAGAGTAGCAGAGTTGGAAGGCACCTTGGAGGTCTTCTAGTCCAATCCCCTGCTTAGGCATGAAGCCCTACATCACTTCAAACAAATTGTTGTTAAGCAATAAGTTGTACTTCCATTTCAAAAACCAAGGTTGCCCTCACTTCCTTAACACTCAGTTGCTTTGCCTTGCTTCCTTTCAGATAACCTATATCTTCTCATTTTCCATCAGCAACCCCAAGAACATCTGTTCTGGACCTCTCTTCCTAGTCACCGATTCCACAAGCCCCTTCTACTGACCTTGAAGTGCTCCACAGCTTCAATCAGAGGGAGACACTGGTGGCCCCAGTGGTCTGGTTGTAAAGCTCTCGCCAGGCACCCATCTTCAGTACAAAAAAGCTTTTCCCCCTGCATCTCCTCCTCATCATCTTTATCCCCGTTGGTGTCCTCATCACCAGCCTGGACCAAAAGAGATTCTTGGGCTTTGCAAGCCAGCTGTCCCAGCACCCGATTAGGTGTATATTTGCCACCGGGGATTTCACGCCGACATTCTGGGCAAGTAGGAAGTGTTGGTGGCATGTCCTCCTCATGGTTGTTGGGGATCTCAGCCCAGAACCGAGTGATACAGGCCTGGCAATAGTTGTGCCCACATTCCAGTATGACGGGGTCTGAAAAGAGCTCCAGGCAAATAGAACAGCGAAGATCCTCAGCAAAGCGTTCTATGCCTGTTGGGGCAGCCATGGAGAAAAGAACAATCTTTCCCAAATCAGAAAAGGATAAGATTTACTTGATAGCTCCTTCCTGTCTCCTCAGAAAGCTTCCTTGCTCTTCCCAGTTGTATTTTACCTCTCAAGTTTCTTCTCTGGTTTGTTACCTCTTCAGATCTTGAACTTTTGTCTTCTCAGTTATTGAATTGACCACTCCCTCTGGGTTACTCTCCGTTACAAATGCAACATTTGACGGTGTTTCTGAGCTTTCGGTCCTTCGTCCTTACTTCCTCATTTTCTTTCCTTTCTTGGCGCTTTTTAAAAACGTGCTCCAGGGGTAATAGAACCGATTTTGAACAAATGTAAGCAAAATGAACTGCAGAGCCCAATCTCCTTTGCAAAGCTCTTGGCTGCCTTCTTTTTCAAAATAGGATTCTCTTAATGGATTCTTCTCATTCAGTCAACCCTGCCCAGACAAGCCTTAGCACACCTTCCGAAGAATTTGCTATTGTTTTTAAAGGGCTTCCCACTGAAACCACACCTTGAATCTGATCATGTGTCTGAAATCTCTTCCTCTTTTGATGACGCTTTGCACCACCCCATCTATAAGCCTCTTTACACAAACCGATGGACGGCTGGATAGATGGGTAGATAGGTGGATGGAGAGGGTGGGAGGGAGGGATGATAGACAGATAGAAATAGATGGATCACCATTATTGGCCAGGAATGCAAGGCTTTTAAATATAAAGATCAGTAATGGCCAACCTTTTTGTCACTGCATGCTGAAAGCGCGTGCCCACACACACACAAACACACACACACACAAACACACACACACACAATGCAATGTGTGTGTGACCCATGTGCCCTGCCCCATGCATGCATGCACTCCCACTGCAGTCCCCAGCCCTATTCACGCACACATGACTCATCCCCACATGTGCCCCACCCCCATACATGCACGTGCTAATCCCCCACACATGATCACATGAACTTCACATGCCCCACATCCCCGTGTGTTCGTGTGCAAACCCTGCATGTGCACCCCCTCTCCCCAAGCATGCACGCACATCTCCCAGATGTGCCCCTCCCCCCATGCATGCATGGCACAGACCCAAGAACCAGCTTGCCGGTGGGAGGCATGTGTGCCTGCATGGTGGAACTGAATTGGAGCAACAGCTCGCATGCCGACAGAACGGGCCATCGGTTCGCTATCATGGATATAGATAGTCTTCAACTTATGGTGATAATGGAGCCCAGAATTTCTGTTGTATGACATGATGGTCGCAAATCAAGGCATCTATGTGAACAATCAAACAAAATGTCGCAATCTTAAAGTGGATGTTATGGTCATTAATTGGTCATTAAGTGAATGCCATGGTTGTTAAGTAAACACATTGCCTGCAATGGGTATCTTTTCACCAGAAACCAGAAGTAGGCATGGTCATATAAATGCAATTTGAGACTTTTTTTTACCATTTTCCAATCTCCTATTATAAAATGGGTTTGTCTTATGACCACGTGATTCACTCAATGACCATATGCTCCACATAGCGATTGTGGTTACTCACGTAATAACTGTCATAAAACAATTGTAAAATTGAATCCAGTCACCTGCTGCCTGAACTTATGACCAAAATTCCAGTCTCGATTGTGGTTGTAAATCAAGGATTACTGGTAACTTGGAGCAGTGCTTTTCTGCCTTAGCAATTTCAAGGCTGACTCCCAGAAATGCTGATTTCGAGCATAAAAAGGAGATTCTCTCTCTCTTTGATTTGTCATCTCAATTCTGAACGAGGAAGAAAGCACAGTTGGGAAAAGTAAAGAATGAGTAATCAGGCCTCACCCAAGGCAGGAAAATTTCTTACTCAATCAATACCCTGTGCTTCATCTCTCTCATGTGAGTAAACCCATTGTTGGTATTCTGCCTGGGATTAGTTTTAAAAGGCTTCTGATCCGTTGACCCTTCTAGGCATAAACATTGTTGTTTCCAGAGATGATTCAATCATAAAAATGTGGAGAAATAGATTATTTACAACTTCTTCATTCAGTACCATTTTCTCCCCTTGGCCTTTTGCAGAGAAAGATTCAAAACTGTAGATTGAGGGGGAAATCTCCCACTTCAGCCTGCTTCTACTTCTGGATTGTTATTTATTATACGTGCGTGTGTGTGTGTGTGCGTGTGTGTGTGTGTATACATACATACATATATACATGTGTGCATGTGTACATTTGTACACACACACACACACACACACACACACA